GTCCCAGGGATTAGTTCACTGGTTTCCATCACTAAACAGCAGGTCCTCGTGACTATGGGGTTCGCCCCGTTTACTGTTTATCACACTGAAAAACGTATGTCATAAAAAACTCTGTTAAGTCTACTCTGTTTTTTCTTGACTACTCTTCAGCATTTAATTCCGTTCCTCAATCAAAGTTGTTATAAAAACTGAAATCATGTGAATACCCCAAGCAATTGTTAGCTTGGCTATCCAGCTATTTTATTGACGGAGTAAAAACCACAAGATGGTACAAGGCTTCATATAAACCCTAGTCAACAACTCCGGAGTTCTTCAACGAGCTGTGCTATCCCCATACTTATTTTCCATCCATACATTTATAATATTCCTTGTGTTTCTCCAGCACTTATTTTGAAATATGCAGATGATGTACTGTGCCAACCCATTTCTTCTTACTCCGATCTAAGCTCCTTCATCGACAATGTTTATTTAATTCTGTCATTCTCCTCCTAATTGGGGCTAATCTTAAACCCCAGTAAATGTATTGATTGTTCATACAGTTTTGCTCGCTCTCCATATCCGACAGACCCCACAGTGATCAATGACAATATTTTATCTAGGGCGAATTTGACCAACTATTGTATTGTAGCTATAGATAGCAATCTTCGTTGGTCAACCCACATCCACAACTGTATTTTTAAACTGCGTCACCTATCATTTCCAATTTGAACGCTCAGACAGTTTAGCTCACCCAAATCAGTTCTACCTTTGCGTATCAGTGTGTTTTCCCCACTGTATATTCCCTAATTATTTATTCTCGCTTTCTAAGTTTTACGCCGCATTCTAACTATTATTATTATTATTCCTGTTTCCACGAGTTAACTGTGAAGCTTTCAGAGTGTCACATTTCCTGTGTGAAATTTGCGGAGAGTATTCTCAGAGATCTTGACCACCCATTGCACAGAGAACTGACACATCCTTGATATTCCTCCACATACTCACAACTCCGCCAAGTTTCACCTCGAATAAACGTCTACCGAAAATCACCCATAGTCTATCTTACACGTTTACTCAAATACAATGAATGCAATGAATGAACTTTGTCTTAACTTTGGGTTTTGAAATGCCCCCATTCTGTGAACATTTTCTCCCCGTTTTATATGTTCTTTGTGACGGTTGGCACGTATAGCTATTTAACTGAAATTTAAGGTTGCAAAAGTTATACACAACGCAGGAAGATATCCATGATTGAAAGATTCTTTACTTATTATCACTGCGGTCCGAACGATCAGAGCTTTATACCATACTCAGCGCTTAATAGTTGTGGCTCTATCCAAAATACTGATACCTACCACTCATTGATATCGGATACAGCCAGAAGTCTAGTTCTACAACTTGATTTTGGTATGTTATGCCTAGACATACGACCGGCCTTAGCCCCCAACAGAAATACTGGAGCGATAACACCATTGTAGAGCAACACTCCTAGTGTATCCGTGATCGCGCTTTACGCAAATATAAGTGGATAATTTGGGCGTACGGGAACGACGTTTTGACGCACCAATCAGATCGCGTCCCTGACACTGATTGGTCGATCGCTCTACTGCTGTCCTATTCATCCAGTCCGGAATCCGCTCGCCCTGGGTCTCGCTAGCGCGCTTGTGCGGTGACGCGGATTGACGAGTTCTGTGGGCTCCGTGTTAACAGACTCCGAAACTGCTGTCCTATTGTCATTCATACGGCCTACAAAATTAAGGCATGTGATAAGTTGATATAACAGATACATTGTTAACTTAGTTGAATTCAGATCTTCGAGGCTCCTCCGTGATTCTTCGCTTGTTTGGGGTCTTACACTTGGTGGTCGAGCAATATGCTGAGAGTCGGTCATTTTCTTTCCTCAGCCATCTTTTCCGAAGTTTTTTAAATCTTGCACGTAGTCCTGTTGTGAGCCCCTTACCTCCTGTTATCCTTATCGAACTGTTCAGAAGAAGCGATTTTCGTTTTCCTTACCTCCACTGTATTTGTTTAACTTCTGTCGACTTATATGCTTACATTTCAGTTAAAAATGTACACCGGTCGTCACGCGGAATAACATACAGTTCAATATAACATCGAAAATAAAGAATGTCCCTGGAGTTTGTTTCGCGTACACAAATTCACACATAATCCACTTGCGACCCGTTACTTTTTGGTTAGTAGTCTGGTCAGTTAGGTTACAGGGGAATTTTTATTAATGTTTATACGAGAGGGTAGATGCCGAAAAAAGGAGCGCTGAGATGGAGGGAGCGGCCAAGGATAGATCGAGATGCAGTGGGAGAAGAGGGTCTTCTAGCATCTTGTTGGCAACTTTAACATAGAAGTTGATGTGACCAATAATGATTTCTGTGATTACTGAATCGGTTATTATTAGTGATGCACGACTGATTGTCATCAAACCACAACGAATGGTTTTGAAGTGGTTTTTTAAAAGTGCGGGGAACCACATGGGAGCAATAGAGAAGAATAGGCAAAACGCTTTGGTAAATGAACAGAGACAGGACTGCCTGCGGGGTTCGGAGTTTCTGTTTTCCCATATTGTTGCGAATGTGTTTGGAACACGGAATATTACTGACACCCAAGTACTTGACTGAGGTCACTCTGGACACAGCTTTACAGCTAAGAGTAGCTGGATCCGTTGGAAATGAAGAGCGGGAAAAATTAAAAATGTACTCTAGGTACCTGGATGTGTTAAGACCAAGACCAGATTGGCTGGGAAACTGTTGGATTTGGGGTAGATTTTCAGCGAAAAGATCGAATTCCAAAGAAGAGGAAATTGTTCGCCACAAAACGACGTCGTTAGCAGTGGTGGGACCGCAAGATCACTAATAAACGGAGAAAAAAACATGGAGATAAAGCGTCTCTTTAAGGCGCACCAGAATTATTAATAAAAGGTTTTGATGTCCTTCCTAATTTAGCACACTGTATGCTCTCTCTCTCTGTGAAATACTCAAATAGCAACGAGAGCAGTTATCTGGGAGTGCCAAAAGATTCAAGTTGGAAAAGAAGGGATGATCAAGAAACAGAACTAAACGCGGATGAGTGGTCAAGAAAAACACAATAGACAGACCTGGTTGAATTGTTCGATCACTTACTGACAAAATGGATTAGAGTGGATACGTCGTCCAGCGTAGATCTGTTTGGTTTATATGCAATATGTAGGGGTCATAGGGGATTGCGATAATTCACTGAAATCAAATTAGGATGGCCTTTTTAGTCAACTTTAGAGCCGCAGAGGTCAGCGTGATAGGACGAAACTGTTTCTCAAAAACAGTCGAGGAATAGGATTTGGGGACTGGAGAAATCGTAACTTGACACCACGAACCAGGAACTGACTGGGAAAACGAGGGGTGCCATCATATTGGCCTGGGAAATTGCTCCGCATTTGACAGGTGACAGGAAGACCATCAGGGCCTGCAGTTGAGGATGCTTTGAAGGACCGGAGAAGCGTAACGATTTCACCATTGGATAAACGCACTGATTGGGATTCATCACACGGGAAGGAGGGAATTTGGATCTTGTTTGACCGGTGATTGAAACCGGCTTCGGAGCTGTTGACTTCCGCCTGGGTATTCGAGTGCCTTCTGTCCTACCCACAGAGAAGTCGAATACCTTGCCATACAAGTCTGGTGTTCGTTGTTCGCAAAAAGCGGGTGGCGAATGTTACATTCAAATGCGTTATCTCAGACCTGGTTAAGTCAGAATAGTGCTATACAATATATATTTTATGTTTCACACACATGTGAATCCAGACTGTGTGCCGAACAAATCATGGTACAATGATCCTTATGAAAAAGAAAAACGTTCCACGAGTTGCATGTGGGCGGGATTCTACCAGGTTGCCCAAACCAAAGTAGGGGGATTTTCTTGAGGAATCCACAGCCGGAGCCTTCGGTTAGCGAAAACCTGACCCGCAAGGCAGCGGGGCGGTGTGCGAAAAGCGCAATCCATTGGGGGTACTGGTTCCAGTTCATCGGATCATACACCCTTTGGACGCGGTCAAAAATCCAAGGTGCCCAATCGAGCCGGTGACCGCTGCCACAGCCGGAACAAATTTTGTGGTTCGTACGCCTATTCTTGGTTAGTTTGGAGCCAGAGTTTTTGGCCAACTCCCCTAGGTGAACTACCAGTGGTCCACCGACCCGGTTACAACCCCGAATGCCGGCTATTCGTTCTCTCACATTGGTGAGGAAACACCCCCGCCACGAGAAGGCAGTGAGAAGAGCTTCCTCTACAGAGGCTATTCGATAAGCTTG